AACAAAATTGGCTCTGATGAAAATATGTCAGATGAAAGATGCCACACAATTCTGTAATTAAAAAAAAAAGTTTAAAGCTGCTTTTTCTATTTAGATTCCTGTTCTTATTAAGCTTTGGGACTAAGATTATAATAATCTCAGAAAATAAAAAGAGATGCTTGTTTTTTTGAATAGTGTAGAATAGTCTGAATGACATGGGAAGCTCCTAATCTTCAAGACTGAGCTAGTGATCACATGTTACTGAGCACACCTATAATTTCCACTATTCAAGTGTCTGTAAAAAAGTTGACCACAAGTTGGACGCCAGACTAGGCAACTTAGTGAGACCCTGTCTCAAAACAAAATAAAACAGGCTGTGCATGTAGCTCAGTGATAGAGTACTTGCCTATTATTTGCAAGACTCTGTGTCCAATCCCCAATACTGCCAAAAAAAAAAAAAAAAAAAAAAAAGAAAAAAAAAATGTAAGTAAAAACAGGGCATCTGTATTGTAATTCATTCTATGAAAAGAAACCTGCTGTATAAACTCTTATCTTCAAGTGGGAACATTTGCTGTTGTTTGTTCCCACTTGGCAAAGTGTCATCACTGTCAATGATTTGTTATGGAGTCAACCATGTCAACAAAACCTAAGCTATTCTGTGTTTTCTGAGACTTATAAGTAGGACTTGTACCTATCAACAGGATGTTAACAGTAACAATATTACTTTGAGCAAAACTGTTATTAAACACAGTAACAAATACTACTATTACAGAATAGTTAGTTTAAAAGTAAACCCTTGCTTTTTAGTGGGGGATTTTAAATCTTGAATCATTATTTACTAAGTGATTCATGTTTTATATATTTAGATGGAATGACTCAGTAAAATATGACTAGCAATGTTGAAAGCATTTGCCTATTTCAAAATTAATTTGGAAATTTTCTGTAGCTCTACCAGCTTACTATTTGAATACAAAGGGAAAAAATGAGACTATTTTAATTCAACTCCTCATGTAAAAAAAAAAATCAGACATTTGGGCAAATTGACACACAGACACAGCACAACAGAAAGCTACTAAGTTTCCCCTGCTAACACACAAAGTAGGTGTTGCCTTAAGTTCTACTTTGTGATTTTAATAGTGATGGAGAAGTGAATGGTTATAGGAATTTTAGTTTCTAAATGAATTTTAATCTCCAATTAGCAAAATGCCATTGGCTTATAAAGAGAGCCTTTGCATTTTCCTCTGAAAAACTGAAAACACTTCATATGGAGTACAGGAAACTCACTGCACGTTATCTATAAATCTTTCTAGACAAGTTTCTACCATTAAGCTATATCCCCAGCCCTGTAAATTTCTTCTAATCATCAAAATACACCCCTTAAAAAAGAGAGAGAGAAAGAGAGAAAACAGATAGTCTCAAGAGAGCTTAGTGATGTATTAATTAGCATATTCATTTTCTGTGGTTTCACTGTTTTAGAATAAGGGAGAGGGAGAAGAGAGGATAAAAGAGCTGGGAAAGAGAGTAGAGGAGATGGGAGGAGAGGGTAAGAGGAGGTAGGAGAGAGAAAGTGAAGAAAAGAGGGGGAAAAGAAGAGGGGGGAGGAAAAAGGGCAAGGGGGGAGATTGGGAAAGAAGAGAAAAAGAAGAAGGAAATGGAAGGAGAGAAAGGAGAAGGAAAGGGAATCAAGGGGAACGGAGAGGGAAAGAGAGGGAGAGGAGTAACATAAAGGGGAGGAGTGGGTAAAGGAAAGAGAAGGGGGGAGAGCAGTGGAGACTAATGTTCCTGTGTTCTGGTCATATATTTGGGCCTCCACATCTGTGTGTACCCACTCTGGATAGAAAACATTTGAAAAACAAATTGCTCCATGCTGTGGTACATGGAAACCCAACACCAGCATTTTAGCCGTGCAGGGAGACCCTGTGAAAGAAAGAAAGAGAGAGAGAGAAAGAAAGAGGAAGGGAGACGGTGGGGGGGGAGAAGTAGATAGAGAGGAGGAGGAGGAAGAGGAGGAAGAAGAGGAGGAGGAGGAGGGAGGGAGGGAGAAAGAAAGAACAAAGAGTGGAGCTAGAGCTCAGTGGTAGAGAGCCACTAGGTTCAACCCAAGTACTGGAAAAAATGAAATTGGATTTATAGTGATATGTTTTTTTTTTGTTGTTTTTTTTTTTTTTTTTTTTGTCATTATTCCTTAACTAGTTATAGCATTTGCAGTGTACTAGGTGTTCTAAGTAAATCTAGAGATGAATTAAAGTACATGCGTGGCAGGTTGAATGCAGGTTATATGCAAAAACCATTCCATTTTACCTAAGGAACTTGAGAAATCCAAGGGTTCTGTTATCTACCAGGGGTGATGGAACCAATTTTTCAGGGATTTGGAACAATGGCTGAATTTCCTCTCCCTATAGAGAAGATTCTGTGCTACTTGGCTTCAGAATAAAAATTACTTGACTGTGACCTCCTGACTTGACATTTGAGAAAGCTCTTATTACATCATCCTGGTTATGCCTAAGGGGAAGGGACTTGTTACGTTATACTAGTTATACCCAAGAGGAAGGGGAAATGAGTGCTTGAGGGCGCAGAGTTGGGTGGGGAGAGGAGAAAGGCACAGATGAGAAAAGAAAGCTAGCTGACCCCCTAGACCACTTCCTGCTGTAAATCACCAGGGACTTCCCTCCACCTCTTGGAAGACAGAAGGAGAGTTCCAGTAGCAACACATTAAATTTTCCTTCTGAAAAGTACAACTCTTAAAAAGTTATAATTTTTTAAAAAAAGGAATAATGTAAAATGCCCTATATACTTGAGATCGAGACTACAAATTTGTAACCATTCTCCAACTTGTCAACAAAGTTGAGATTTTTCTTTCAGTTTTAGTCACTAATTTCAATAATGGAATCTGGATTGGCCACCAGATGTGACCCTGCCTTGTTCTCATCTCCATTTCAACCTGACTAGTTTTCCCACATTAGTTTTTATGTGGATTTTTAAACCTTAATAAAGTTAATGATTTAGGAATTATCTCTTGAGAGAACAGAACTTCCCTTAATTCCCAGTCTTCAATTTAGATGGAAAGCACTGAATCTTTAATGAAAAAGTAGAGCAATTCTACAGGTGTTTATGTAGCTTCACTCATAGTCAATCCATTTTGAGGATAAACTCACAGTCTGCCTCTCAGAGACATATCATGCTATTAGGAAACAGGTGGAAATTAATAGACAGCTCTGAATTGGTTCAACCTTACCATATATTCTTTTTCTGTCTCAAAGGAAAAAAGAGAATAGAAGTTCACTCTGTTTTTTTCTTTACTTCCACAGCTAATCCTGTGGTGAGCCTTATTTTCATCTCTTCCCTATGATGTGTGATCTTGGAATTCCTTTATATTTTTTAGAAGTTTATGTTATCATAGAGATTTTGCCTACCCTTATATCTCTGGCATTGTGCTTTATGCCTAGTGCAAAGAATATGCTCGATACATTTTTTTTATGAATGAAGTCAACAAAAAGAGAGAGGAATTTATAAAACAGGAGTATAGATACTTCCATAGACTTCCAAGCAGGCACTTTAAAAGTGGAAATGTTAAATGATAATTTTTAAGAAAGGTGGAATGGTTTTTAATAGAATTAGTAAAGGATTATAGAAAAAATTTGAAAGAAAGACCTTGATATGTCAGTTTCTATCATTTGTTTATCTTTGTTACTCTTACAACTTGATATATGGTAAGAATAGGATTGATGAGATGGAATCAATCTTCTTTTTCACTGGACAATTACATGTATTAAAATAATTTCACATGCTCTATCCACTCCCTTGGAGACAGATGGGTAGTACTTTTGGTCTGTTAATTAAAAAAAAAAAGATTGTCACTTATTGATTGATTTACATGTCACAGTATAGTAGCTTCCCATGTGTTTATTTCAACAATCCTATAAGGACAGTATTTTTATGTCTAATTGGTGGACAGGAGATAGCCTCAACAACTGCTAAGTCAGTTCTAGGGTTATTCAGTGATCACTTGATAGAAATAATAAAATGAAATATTTTCCCTTGTAAGTTGTGGATACTCAACAAAGAATAGGTACAAATAAGCAATTTAATTACTCAGACTCCATCTAAATATTGAATCCTAAGTCTGAAATTTTCAATCTTTGCTGTTAATTTTTATATCTAAAAGGATATTTTGTAAAAGACCCAAGCTCAGGAATAAGCCTAAAAAGGTAATATAGCTATGACAATAGACAGTTCATAGGCTTACGGGAATAATTCACATTAATGAAGTTTCCAAGACTAGTTTTTATGTGGATCGTCCGTCAAACCCTAATTCTTTTTTCCCTGATTGTTGTGTAATCTGTCTAGATTTATGTCCAAGGAGTTTTTGTTGTTGTGTTGTATTGTATGTGTGGTATTGGGGAATTAACTCAGGGGTGCTCTGTCACTGAGCTACAGCTCCAGTCTTTTTCCTTTCTTTTATTCTTTCTTTCTTTTTCTCTTTCTTTTCTTCTTCTTCTTCTTTTTTTTTTTAATTGTGAATTCCCCTCCTGAGTTGTTGGGTTTACAGGGGCATGCCAGTGTGCCTGTCTAATGTAGGAGTTTTTTTAAACCCATATTGGGCAACCAACTAGATAATGGAATTAAAAAAAATGTTTTAAACTTTTGACTAAAAGAATTTACCCAGTGAATGTCACAGACTGTAATCTAACTAAAAACTCACAATGTATGTAACTCTAGAATTCTACCTCAAAATCCAGGGAGAATACCTCTAGAGTTGAGAGATAAATTTTTCCAGTCTAGAGAATCCCAGAGCCCAAAGCAAAAAAAAAAAAAAAAAAAAAACAAGTTCAAGTTTTGGAATTTAGCTCCAGCACAAAATCATTAGCTTACACACTAAAGATCCAAAAAGAGAGGAAGTAAGTATTTGCAAGAGTCTAAAGATCACAACTGCCTCTGGGGGCAGTGGCTGGAGGGAGGAGCCTTCAGCGTCAGAGCAGCTTTTTGCTTAGATTTCTGTCAGTAACTAGAGATTGACAATCAGATTAGTTGGAGTGGGAGGAACTAAAAATCTAAATTCCCCACAGGGTGGAGTCTTAGCAGTTCTTTGAACTTCTCACCCTGTGATCCGGTCTACAAAGCTTCACGAAATTCTTGAAAGGTTTCTCCAGGGGTCCTGGAAACTGAGGCCTCCGTGGAAATCCCATCTGGTAAGCACTTAGTCTGTGATGTGTACTCTGTACACAAATGTATGCTCGGGTGACTTTTCCAAATGAAAATTCTCTCTGCTAGAGTCTTTGTCACGGTGCTTTAGAGGTTTCTCCTTCTCCTTCTTCAAATTATCTTCATGAACAATAATGGCATAACTTCTGTAAAAGACCCCTTTAAAAACAGATAAATCAAGAGATATTTAGCAATATAATGAAAAAGAATTGGTGTCAGTAGTACATGACAATTCATTTACTAAACTTGGTTACATTTGACAAATTAAATAATTGAGTTGAAATGTTAAGATTAGATCAAAATCCAGATAAGGGAAAGATATCTTTAGATAAACTATAAATCTTCTATTTTCTGGTAACTCTAGTTGTCTCATGCTGTTATTAGTCATAGTAAATGTTTAGAGAAGTGAAACATCTATTCTTTGGGTGCAGTTTCTTCCCCTTTTATTTTGTGAAACATTTGCCTAGGAATGGAAAGTAAATACATTTTTCTCTGCTTTTATTTTGAGGAGGGTGGAGTATTATTTTGGTAGTGACACTAGAGCAAATGCATGTGTGATTTTACTGTGAAATTCAGGGAGCTGTTGGTATCCTAAAGGTGAACTGCAATGTCACTCATTTCCCACTGATACTCTCGAAGAAGTCTGCTCTGTCCACATATGCTCAATAAGTTTACTTTCTCAATGAAACGCTACACACTTTCTTGAGCATACACATACTCTCTCGTTCTCTCTCTCTCACGCGCGCACACACACACACACACACACGCCCTCATGCACACAGTTGTCGAAAACCAGTCCTTGTCCCCAATGCCAATCCAATAATTAAGACATGGTTTTGAGAAAAAGGAAAAAGGTTTATTGCTTTGCCAGTAAAGGAGAAACACAGGGGACTCTTGTGCCAGAGTCTGTGATTTTGTAGGAATGGAGGGCTTCTAAAGAGGTGACTCAAAGGCTTCATTCCATGTGTTCTCCATTTGCAATTGTAATTCCCTTGTTAATTTGGGAGATAGTCATTTCTGAGATCTTCTGGTACCATCCCTAAAGTCTGGATGGATTACTTTGTTCCTCTGGTGGATGTGTACTCAGGGACAGATAACTCTGCTAAGGGAAGGAAAGAATAATAATCATGTTTCCCTGGAGATTGGGGGGGTAGTTGGGTTAAGGAGGAGCAGGGAGAGAGGAAAAGAAAGAAACATGTCTATTTAAAAAGTAAATTGCAGTGGTAGAGTTGCAAGGGTTATATTTGAAGCATAAAGCGGACCACCATTATAATATGTGTGTTCATGTTATAAACTTTGAACTCAGAGTAGAATTTGCTTATGTCAGTAATGAAACAAAGCTCCACCATGTACAAATTAACTATTGATTACTCTAGTCATTTATTTAACTGTTGAACCTTAGCACAAGAGGTTAGTAGAACATTCTGCATTCTATTATTCCATACAATCAGTTGTTTTTTGTTTATTTGTTTATTTTACACAATACCTTATTTTATTTTATTTTTTTAAAATATTTATTTAGTTAGTTTTTGGGTGACACAACATCTTTGTTGGTATGTGGTGCTGAGGATCGAACCCGGGCTGCACGCATGCCAGTCGAGCATGCTACCGCTTGAGCCACACCCCCAGCCCTTTTTTATTTTATTTTTATGTGGTGCTGAGTATCAACTCCAGCGCCTCAAACATGCCAGGCAAGCACTCCATCACTGAGCTACAACCCCAGCCCCAATCAGCTTTTAAAAAGTTTCAGTTTTAAAGACTTAGCTATCTAAATAAACTTGTGAAGACACAATTTACAAAATGTCGAAGTTTAAATTGAGGGCAAAATATCAATTTCCACCTGAAAGTGTTGCTATTTAAAAGTATCATAAAATTGTTTTTTATCATTATTATAAATGTTCCTGTGATTTGATCCCAACCATGATCTCATAAAGTACAATTTAACTTTATCTTATATAACAATAATACACCAAGAGGTTATGTGACATGCCTTAGACCACAATCTGTGTTTGTCTACCTTCTTAATGAAATTAATGCTAAATATTGAAATAAAATTTGGAAGTTTTTGTTTTAAACTTTAATCTCTAAAGCAAATAAAATATTAAAGTAAATATTTAAGTGAGTAATTATTTCTTTGGAGTAAGGGCACTGTGTTATTTTGTGAAGATGACATTTAAGTCTGTTGGAGGCTGTGCATCATGATAGGTTGGCTGAGGGTACACTCTTTCAGTGAAGACTGTCCTATCAAGTACATCTTCATATCCTAGTTTGACAAGCCCAGAAGTGGAACCAGCCACTTTGATTTTTGCCTGGCTGAAACAGGATTTGGAATAATTTTTTAAAAAGAGCACATAGATTCCTATATATTACATCATGCTTTGTAGACTGAGTGTAGGTCTGAAAAAAGAACACAAAGGTAAAAAAAATGAATGAGCTAAAGAAATAATCAGCATTGAAAAAATCAGCATCAAGATGCAAGGAAATACTACATAAGAGGTTCAAGTCTCTCAGTAGGAACTCTCTATACATCTGCTATATGTCTTCCCAAGAGAAGATAGTTGACTCAGCCCTGCAGGCCCAGTTCAGTAACAAACACCAAACTCTGTTATCCTTGTACCCAACATTTATATTTCTACTGTCTTTTTTCCGGGGTTTGGTCTCTAAATGAGTGGATACGGTTGTCACTCTTCATGACTTTAACCAGGATTAAATAAGATATAAATATAAAGGAGCTAATGAATATATATTAAATAAAGAAAATCAAATTGTACTCAGAGTGTGATGGTGGTAAACTAATCTTTATTTTATTTTATATAATCTTCATATTTATTTGAGTAAACTCACTTAAAATATAAAGTCACCTCCAAAGATCATGCAAAGAACAACTTTTCAAAGAAGGTCCCACATATAAATCAAACTCTCTTGATTCTGAGTTTCACTGGAAATGTTTCTCTAATTATTAACCCTGTGGTCAGAAGGGGAGACAGTTTAACTCTGGGAATAGGCTGTCAGACATGCCAAATAGTTCACCAAGATCTTTAGTTTCTTCTCTTATCTGACTGTCATTTGGGGGCAGTTTCATTAACTAAAAGACACTGCTCAGCAGTGGGGTGGCCATAAAGACAAGTGAAACATGAGTCAGGCCCAGGTAGAATACCCTTCAATAGAGTCCATCAGCAAGATAACAGTTTTACAGTAAGGAGACTCTTAGTAGTAAGGCAGAAAACCATCTCATGAAATGCTATAACTAGCCAAGCAGACAAACCAGGGCCTTTCACAGAGCTTGTTGCATGTAAGGATTCAGTGAGCTTCAAGATGGGATTGCCCTGTCATTTTTTTGAGGAGTCATAGCTATTCAATCTCCAGGCATTATGCACCTAAGTGATTCTACTTGTAGGAATCATGTTTTCCTTGCTGCAACCATCAGTGGCTCTGTTTTACTCTGACAAATGAGTTATTTGGAGCAATATTCTTTCCAGAACTTAGCATTTTATAGATTCTTCTCTGATTCTTCTAAATCCACACTCCTGTTTCTAACTGAATGAATGAATATAACTCACAGCTCAGATTCTTGAAAGAATTTGATTATATGCTCAGATAAACCGCATCATCACTGTTTGGTTAGAGGCTTCAGAGTAACTCACCCACAGACCACTGACTAGACAGTGCATAGTCTTTAATGTGCCACGGGCCCAGCAGAGGGTCTAATCAACTCTGACCAGGCAATTGATCATGTCAAGGGGTAAAGGCAAAGCAATCTCTAATCAAAAGATAAATTTCTTCATCAGAAAACTATAGGTAGGGACCCTTTTAAAGTCAAGCTGTGGACATGAAAGCATGTTTCATTTTTCCCACCCACACATGCTCCTGAATAAATATAGAAACTGGCAGAATGTTTTGCTTATCATAAGAGGTGTGCTCATAAATGTTACAGATGTTTAGAGGAGGAAAGACTATTTTTAGCAGAGCTCTCATGACAGGCCTCATGAAAAATGTAGCTTTGAGCTAGGGCTTTCAAAGGTGTCTAGAAATCTGAACACATAGAAGTGGAAGCAGAAAACTATATGCAAATGAAATGGCATAAGAAATCCACAGAAATAGAAAATTTCATAGGAGGGATAAATAATAATTTAGTATGATCAGGTATTGAAATCACCACAAACATCAAGAATCTTTGACTTTAGTGTAAAATCATGAATTAGAGCTTCAACTGATATCAAAAGCAGTTGTAAAAGAGGTAAAAACAGGAATGAGTGAAGTACCTTTATTGAGGAATAAAATGAATGGATCTTTAGGATACTGTCAATAATGAGAAAGGAAAAGATCAAACAATTAGAAGAATCTATATTAGAGTACAGTGTTATGGCAAGATTGCCATAAATCAATGAGTCAGAACCATCTTTATTCACCCGCTGACAGGCCAAGGGGCTGCAAGTCTATATCCTTCGACACTCTCCAGGGGATGGAGTACACCTTTTATACCATAAGCAAAGCATGTCAGTACATTAATCACAAGTGGCTGTTGCTGTGAATCAAGACCATTAACAAATATTATGAAATCCAAAATCATAAGCAGAAGGGGAAGTGGGTCAAAAGTACCCTAGTTGAGTACAAGTTCAAGAATGGTTACTAACATCTAGACAAGTTCAAGAATGGTTACTAACATCTAGACAATCACATTCTCTGACAGTGTGCATTGTCAAAAAAAAAAAAATAGAAACCAAAAAGAGAACAATCTTACATTGTATAAGAATTGCCGTTTTGTGTTGTTAAACATGCTATGCTAAGCAACTGTTGTAGGGTACAGAGGTGGGGTGTTCCAATGGGAGAAGAATTTCTTGCATGACATGGAATCTCAGGGTAAAATGGAGTCTGTTTAGCCATTGCCTATATAGCCTGGCTCATAACAAGGGAAGAATGTCCATTTTAATGGCATTGTACAATGATGAGATATGCAACTATTTTCTTTCTGAAGAGGCTAAATTCATATATTATTATTCACATATTTTTAAACTTCACTGAAGTTTCTTTGCTTGTTTATTCATTTATATTCCCCCCCCCAATTTTAGTATATATTTTTGGATGTTGAACAAGGCACGTGTTATTAGAGAAAAAAAATCCTCAGACCAACTTTATTTACATAATATAGTTCAGCTGACTTCATACATGCCTCATAAGAGGGAAGGGAGTACAGCACAAAGATGATTAAATCAGAGCTTTATCTCTGTATGAGTTTTGGTCTACAGGGATCTAGACTTTGGACCCCCAGGATATAGATGCAATGCCATGTGTAAGTTGAGAAATGCCACACCTATCTTGTGATTAATATTCCACTAAGCTACAGGCTCATATACCTTGACTTTGCTACCTTGATGATCAATAACAATCTGACTCTTAGTATGCCTTATGTAGAACTCTGATTTCCCTATTCAAAACTCTGATTTTCCTACTCAAAAATTTTCTTCCCCAGGTATGTCTTTTATCACATTTCACATATTTGCACAGATCCTAAAGCTAAAAATAAACCACTGTCCTGTCCTCATCAGAGAGAATCTGCCACAGTCCTATCTACTGTTTCTACAAAATGTATCATACAGTCACACTCTTCTTTCCCTTTTTGATCAAATTTATCCACCATCCCTGGTACCCTAGACTTCTATAATAGCCTTAATTTATCTCTCTTTTTCAATTTTTATACTTCATCACAATGCAAAATGGTTTTTATCTAGTGTAAAATTATGTCATTTCACTTTGCTACACAAAAGGTTCCAATATTATGCTGAGGATATAGGTCTGTGGTATAGCCCTTGTTTCGTATGTACAAGACCCTGTGTTCAATCCCAATACTGAGGAATAAAAACAAAAACAAATCACAACCAAAAACAATCTCTCCAGTGTTTTCTCATTCAATTTACAAAATATCCAAACTTATTTCCAGCCTTAAAAGCTCATCAAGATTCACTTCTCCCTCTACCTACTCTACATCATGGTCTACCCTCCCACCCTGTCCACTGCTTCACTTACTGTGCTGTTTGAATAGGCTAAGCCAATCTCTTCCCCATGACCTTTGCATTTGTCATCTTTTTTAGGTGCAGGTCTTCACATGGCTCACTTCATAACATGATTCAGAAAGGCTCATGTATCTCTTCCTCAGAAAAAAAAAAAACACATGGATTCTCTTACCAATATAACTATCATATCCAAGGACTTTCTGCTCTGAGTTTTTTATAGAACTTGAAACATAAAATTGCATCGCTTACTTTTCTTTTCTACCACAAAAAGTAAACTGTGCAGGAGTTTGCCATTATATACTATCTTAAAACTGTTGTTCTACCAGTGCAGGGATCACATTGGTAGGGGCTCAATAAATATTCATTGCAAGAGTTTAAATGAAGGCATGTATGAAGTCAGCTGAACTATATTATGTAAATAAAGTTGGTCTGAGGATTTTTTTTCTCTAATAACACGTGCCTTGTTCAACATCCAAAAATATATACTAAAATTGGGGGGGGGAATATAAATGAATAAACAAGCAAAGAAACTTCAGTGAAGTTTAAAAATATGTGAATAATAATATATGAATTTAGCCTCTTCAGAAAGATTAAGTATTCTTTCCCAAATGGTGGGAAACGTTAAATGATGATGGAACAGAAGAAAATGTAGTTTCAAGAAATACCTTAGGGTCCCGTTTGTTCTAAGATGGTACTTATGATGTTGGAAAGCAATAAATTTCTCCTCCTTATCAGTAGGTGTGTGGATATCTTTGATATGCATATGGCAAAAATACTAACATTTAAAGTGAAATTACTTTTTTATCAATATCATTTTAATTCACAATAAAAATTTTATTAAGTTTCAATATTTCTATAGTTTTAAAACTGTGGTTCAAAAACCAGTGGGATTGAGATAGCGGAGCTGATAGGAAGAATGACAAGCTAGGTGGGGCACTCTTTATCTACACAAAGGCATTTTTAAAAAAAATACAATCTTTTTTATTGATTTTTTTAAAAAAATAAATGACAGTGGAATGCATTACAATTCTTATTACACATATACAGCACAATTTTTCATATCTCTGGTTGTATATAAAGTATGTTGACACCAATTCATGTCTTCATACATGTACTTTGGATAATGATGTCTATCACATTCCACCATCCTTGCTAACCCCCTGCCCCCTCCCTTTCCTTCCCACCCCTCTGCCCTATCTAGAGTTTCTCTATTCCTCCCATGCTCCCACTCCCTACCCCACTATGAGTCAGCCTCAGTGAAGTTAGCCAATTCCCCCAAAACAATAGCTGAATGTTTTCTCTGACATAAGGAGGCTGATACAAAGCAATTTTAACTGTCAATTCCTAGTAATATATCTTAAGGTAATGGGAAAAAATTATAAACATTTAGATAGCATTTCCAGATAATAAAAATGTAAAAAAGCCAGGCATAGTGGTTTATGTCTGTAATCCTCACTTCTGGGAAGGGTAAGGAGAGAGGATGGCAAGTTTGAGGTCAACCTGAACAGCAGAGCCCACCAGGTTAAAGAAGGAAGAAAAGAAAGAAGGAGCTTATTTTTATTGAAAACTTACTCTGTCCTAAACACTGTTATTAATTTGGTCCTTTCAACATCCTAACTTACTAATATTTTCTTTATTTTATATATGAGAAAAATTCAGGCATGCGGTTTACTGGTTGGTTGATTAATTATATTAAATTATATTACTTCTGGCATTAAGAAATGGGAAGGTTGGTCTTAAAAGATATAGTTCCTAAAGAACTAATTTTCTGCAGGAAAATGATGGCAGCTAGATTGTTTTACTATCTCTTTCTTTTAGAGAACAGCTGTGATGGAGTCTTCACCTCTTGAGCTGCCATCTGACACAGTGCAACGCATCGCAGCTGAGCTCAGATGTCACCCAACAGATGAACAGGTGGCTCTACGCCTAGATGAGGAAGATACACTGAGGCATTTCAGGGAGTGTTTTTATATTCCCAAAATGCAGGATCTGCCTCCAAGTAAGAATACTGGGAAAGGTTTTATCAATTTATTAATTAATTAATTTTTGCTATGTGTTTATCATAAATCTTTTTGAAAATCATTGTCCTACATAATAGAGTTATTACAATTGCACCTGAAAAATATCAGGCCCCTGTTGGTGCTAAATCAACCTGTCGCCTACCTTAGCCTCATATTCTTTCTGTTTCCTATAGTCCTCTGAATAAAATACTTACAGGTGCTTATATTGTCATTTACTTCTCTGAACAATACAGTGACTGATTGAAAATTATATGCAGAGGCACTTACTGTTCTCCAAGTATAGCTCAAAGCAATTCTTTGCAACACAATATTAAAATATCTTTTATTTTGTGGCACCTAATTGATGATAGCATGATGTTTATCTTAAAGGGAATTTTTTGTGTGTGTGACCTGAGTACATTAGGAGGAATGTTATGTAAATAGCCATATTTGCATACTGTAAGTAAAGATGGTGAGTGTAAATCTTACGAAAAAAGAAAGAAAGAAAGAAAATAAAATAAAAAAATTAATGCCTAAGAAATACATTCTGCATTTCTGAACACAATACAGTAAACTGACTATTAGCAGGTTTGGGTTTGAAACATGGGTACCACAGTTTTAAAATGTGAAAAAAAAATGTTGTATTTAGCTATACTCTGTTTTACATCTATGAAAAAGGCTACAAGGTCAAGTGGAATTATTTCACCATGATCAGCCTTATATGTGTTACAACTGTCTGATTTCTATTTTTCCTCAGGTTAAACAAAGCAGGTACAATTTTGGGTATTTAGAATCCAAGATCATCAGCTAATACTATTAGGATAAGAATGGGCCATATAGCTCTCTATTTTGACTCATATGTTATAAAACACACAAGGATACACTCTCCTGGAATATGCACCTACAGCCATTCATTTTTGATGATTATTCCATGTATTCCCCCCCCCCAAATCTGGAAAGATTAGAGATCAAATTCAGTATCCTATTTAAAGCTGTTTAATGTTAATTAAGGGAGACATTGGTACAAACGCCAGCTATAAGAATCAAACAAAATAAGGATATAAGTGAAATGATCTGAGACAACAAAGAAAAATATTCTAGGTCAATCTACAATTTAGAATTAAGAGAGCATTTTGATTTGAATACCGCCCCCCTCTCTTTTCCTATAAAAGGGATTAGTGAACCCAAGGGCACTTAACCACTGAGTCACATCCACATCCCATTTTTGTGTTGTTTTTAGAGAAAGGATCTCCTTAAGTTGCTTAGTGCTTTGCTAAATTGCTGAGGCTGGCTTTGAACTGGCAATCCTCCTGCCTCAGCCTCCAGAGCCACTGGAATCCCAGCTGCTCAAGAAGCTGCAGTAAGAGGATCACAATTTCAAAGCCAACCTGGGTAATTTAGCAAGCTCTAATCTCAAAAAAAATAAAATTTTTAAAGAACTAGGGATGTAGTTCAGTGGTAGTAGCACTTACCTAGCATGTCAAGGGTTCAATCACCAGTACCACAAAAATCAATAAACAAACAAAAAGAAACAGCATTGCACATCACTAATTATTAGGGAAATGCTAATCAAAGCCACAATGAGATATCATCTCAAACTCACTCTGAGGACTAGTACAAAAATAAAAATTTAAAAAAAAAGAAAAGAACAATTATTGACTAGGATGTGTAGAAACTGAAACTCTTTAGTATTATTGGTTAGCATGTAAAATGATGCAACTATTATAGAAAACATTGTATCCTTTAAAATTTTAAAATAGAAACCAAGCATGGTGGCACAGGCCTGTAATCTCAGTGACCCTGGAGGCTGAGGCAAGAGGATCACAAGTTCAAATTCTGCCTCAGCAAGTCACTAATCAATGAGACACCCTGTCTCAAAATAAAATAAAAGGGATTTGGGATGTAGCTCAGTGGTAAAGCACTCCTGGGTTCAATCCCCAGTAACCAAAATAATAGTGATAATAATAATAAATGAAAGAAAGAAAGAAAGAAAGAAAGAAAGAAAGAAAGAAAGAAAGAAAGAAAGAAAGAAAGAAAGAAAGATTTACTAATGATCAAGCAGTTTTACTTCTGGGTATATATTCAAATGAATTCCAAGTGTCTCAAAAGACATTTGTACACCCATGTTTATAGCAAATGGACACCCATATTCAAGGTTCAGTAATTGATGAATACATAAAAATGTGGTATATGCATAGAATGAAGTATTTATCACTCAGTCCTTAAAAGGAAAGAAATTTTGACCTGTTATAGCATGTATTTATTTTGAGGCTGTTAGACTAAGTGAAATAAGCCAGTCACCAGAAAGCCAAATAGTGTATGGTTACATTTATATAAAGTGTAGAATAGTCAAATTGATGTAAAAAGAAAGTAGACTGGTGGTTTCAAGATTTTCGGGAAGGGAGAAATGGGAGTTATTTAATGGGCATAGAGTTTCAGTTTTGCAAACTGTAACAGTTCTGGAGACAGGCTACACAGCAATATAAATGTACTTACCTCAGAACTCTATACTGAAAAATAATTAAGAAAGTAAATTTTATACTAGGTGCATTTGAGTACATTTTTATATATATTTTTAATTTTAATTAAAAAAAAAGTATCATACATGTAATTACTACCATTATACTTAAGAGTTGACTCCAGTATCCTGACTAGAAGTGTAACATTTGTTTTGGTTAGTTTTGGTTAGTGGTCACTGAAATTAGCTTCGAAGAATTATACATTGGATATGTTATTGCTGGTTCTTAAGAAGAAAAAGATAAATTAATTCAATAAAAAATTTAAATAATTGTTTAAAAACACAATTTCAAATAGTACAAAAATTTCCTTGCATAAGTCCTCTGATGAGCAGCATAAACATCAAAAAGGATCTTATTAGAAGTGCAGTTCTTGGATCCTGCCCCAGAATTACTGAACAGATATTCAGGGTCAGGCCCAGCCATCTGTTCTAGATAAGTTCTTTTTTTTTTTTTAATTTTTTATTGTTGGTTGTTCAAAACACTACAAATTTCTTGACATATCATATTCCACACTTTGATTCAAGTGGGTTATGAACTCCCACCTTCACCCCATATACAGATTGCAGAATCACATCAGTTACACATCCATTGATTTACATATTGCCATACTAGTGTCTGTTGTGCTCCGCTGCCTTTCCCATCCTCCCCCCTCCCCCCTCCCCACCTCTCCCCTCCCCTCCCCTCCTCTCTCTCTACCCCCTCCACTGTATAACCCTGAGGGTCTCCTTCCATTTCCATGCAATTTCCCTTCTCTCTCCCTTTCCTTCCCACCTCTCATCCCTGTTAAATGTTAATCTTCTTCTCCTGCTCTTCGTCCCTACTCTGATCTTAGTTACTCTCCTTATATCAAAGAAGACATTTGGCATTTGTTTTTTAGGGATTGGCTAGCTTCACTTAGCATAATCTGCTCTAATGCCATCCATTTCCCTGCAAATTCTATGATTTTGTCATTTTTTAATGCAGAGTAATACTCCATTGTGTATAAATGCCACATTTTTTTAATCCATTCGTCTATTGAAGGGCATCTAGGTTGGTTCCACAGTCTTGCTATTGTGAATTGTGCTGCTATGAACACCGATGTAGCAGTGTCCCTGTAGCATGCTCTTTTTAGGTCTTTAGGGAATAGACCAAGAAGGGGAATAGCTGGGTCAAATGGTGGCTCCATTCCCAGCTTTCCAAGAAATCTCCATACTGCTTTCCAAATTGGCTGCACCAATCTGCAGTCTCACCAGCAATGTACAAGTATACCCTTTTCCCCACATCCTCGCCAGCACTTGTTGTTGTTTGACTTCATAATGGCTGCCAATCTTACTGGAGTGAGATGGTATCTTAGGGTGGTTTTGATTTGCATTTCTCTGACAGCTAGAGATGGTGAGCATTTTTTCATGTACTTGTTGATTGACTGTATGTCCTCCTCTGAGAAGTGTCTGTTCAGGTCCTTGGCCCATTTGTTGATTGGGTTGTTTGTTCTCTTATTGTCTAATTTTTTGACTTCTTTGTATACTCTGGATATTAGGGCTCTATCTGAAGTGTGAGGAGTAAAGATTTGTTCCCAGGGTGTAGGCTCCCTATTTACCTCTCTTATTGTTTCTTTTGCTGAGAAAAAACTTTTTAGTTTGAGTAAGTCCCATTTGTTGATTCTAGTTATTAACTTTTGTGCTATGGGTGTCCTATTGAGGAATTTGGAGCCGGACCCCACCGAATGTAGATCGTAGCCAACTTTTTCTTCTATCAGACGGCATGTCTCTGATTTGATATCAAGCTCCTTGATCCATTTTGAATTAACTTTTGTGCATGGCGAGAGAAAGGGATTCAGTTTCATTTTGTTGCATATGGATTTCCAGTTTTCCCAGCACCATTTGTTGAAGATGCTATCCTTTCTCCATTGCATGCTTTTAGCCCCTTTATCAAATATAAGAAAGTTGTAGTTTTGTGGATTGGTTTCTGTGTCCTCTATTCTGTACCATTGGTCCACCCGCCTGTTTTGGTACCAGTACCATGCTGTTTTTGTTACTATTGCTCTGTAGTATAGTTTGAAGTCTGGTATCGCTATACCGCCTGATTCACACTTCCTGCTTAGCATTGTTTTTGCTATTCTGGGTCTTTTATTTTTCCATATGAATTTCATGATTGCTTTCTCTATTTCTACAAGAAATGCCGTTGGGATTTTGATTGGCATTGCATTAAACCTATAGAGAACTTTTGGTAATATCGCCATTTTGATGATGTTAGTTCTGCCTATCCATGAACAGGGTATATTTTTCCATCTTCTAAGATCTTCTTCTATTTCTCTCTTTACAGTTCTGTAGTTTTCATTGTATAAGTCTTTCACCTCTTTTGTTAGGTTGATTCCCAAGTATTTTATTTTTTTTGAAGATACTTTGAATGGAGTGGTTGTCCTCATTTCCATTTCAGAGGATTTGTCACTGATATACAGGAATGCTAGATAAGTTCTGATGGTAGCATAGATTTGGATGAGT